CGGCTTAGCTGAACCTGCAGAGATTGGCAAGCTGACTCAGGGAGCCGCCGTGCTATGTACAAAGAGGACGCGTCCAGACAACGCTGATCTCACCGCCCGTCTGATTCTTCGCCGTCGCGGAAAGGTGACTGAGCCGCGGGCGTGCTTTCCCTCGCAGGGATCTCGTACACCGCTGTATCCATTCCTCCCCGCCGTCTGGTCCTGACGCTTAATCCAAAGATGCCGAACTTCTCCGGGTCCTGGAAGATGAAATATTCCGAAAATTTCGAGGAGCTGCTGAAGGCGCTGGGTGAGTGAGCGAGCGCTGACAACCCTACATCCTTATTGCTGATGTTGACTTAGTGGAGGGCGTTTTTTTTTGGGTTCGACGTGACGATATTATCCAAATCTGTCATTTATTGATCTTGATATACACCTGGAAGGTAACACTCAGATATCAAACATTCTGGTTTCTTTATTTCCTCTGAAAACATATCAAGAGATGCAAAGTATATCATTGTACCCTGATACATATTCTAATATTCTACCTCCCAATATAAAGATATCAGATATACAAACATAGAGATACATTGTTGTAACATAGACCTGGATGGTGACACTCAGATATCAAACATTCCCATTTCTTTATTACCTCCAAAAAGATATCATTGTATCCTGATACATATTCTAATATAAAGATATCAAGAGATACAAATATAGAAATACTTTGTTATAACATAGACCTGGATGGTGACACTCAGATATCAAACATTCCTATTTCTTTATTTCCTCCTAAAAGATCAAGAGATACAAAATATATAATTGTATCCTGATACATATTCTAACAGTCTACATGCTAATATAAAGATATCAGATACACCAATACAGAGATACTTTGTTGTAACATGGATGGATTTTTTGACTTGAATGTTACAATGTCGCAAAAAGTTTATCATTCTCACTTGTTTCCTCCTAAAAGTTATCAAGAGGTACAAAATATATCATTGTACCCTGATACATATTCTAACATGCTAGGTCCTAATATAAAGATATCAGATATACAAACATAGAGATACATTGTTATAATATAGACCTGGATGGTGATACTCGGATATCAAACATTCTCTTTTGTTTATTTCCTCCTAAAAGATCAAGAGGTACAAAGTATATAATGGTATCCTGATACATATTCTAGTATGCTATGTTCTAATATAAAGATATCAGAGATACAAAGAAATAGATACTTTGCTGTAACATAGATCTCTATGGGTTGAACTCGATGGACTTGTGTCTTTTTTCAACCTGACTAACTATGTAAGATCTGGACGGTGTCACTCGGATATCTAACATTCCCATTTCCTTATTTCCTCCTTATATCATCGTATCCTGATACATATTCTAACATTCTACTTCCTAATATAAAGATATCAGATATACAAACATAGAGATACATTGTTATAATAGTGATCTGGATGGTGACACTCAGATATCAAACATTGCTATATCTTTATTTCCTCTGAAAAGATCAAGAGATACAAAATATATCATTGTATCCTGATACATATTCTAATAGTCTACATCCTAATATAAAGATATCAGATATACCAATTCAGAGATACTTTGTTGCAACTAGGGATGCACAGATACTTTTTGAGCACCAGTGCCGATACTTGGCATGTTTATGAGAACTCCCGGGGTTGCAGCTGTTGCAGCTGGGACCGGCTCTGGCGCTCCACCACTGTCCTGTTATCATTAGTCTGTATTGTTTTAGAAAAACTGTCACATGACAATAAACAAAAAAGTATCAGTACTTGTACTCGCAAAACTGATATTCCTTTATATATATATTTATAAAAACAAAATCATACATTAAGACAGAGATGTAGAAATCCCGGGAGCTCCGTGTGCTCCTTACACATGACAGCGGCCTCCTAACTTCTGAATTCTTCTCTAGTGTAGTCCTGGAGCTCAAAAAGTATCTGTACTTTGACCTGGATGGTGATACTGAGATATCAAACATTCTCATTTGTTTCCGCCTAAAAGATATCAAGAGATACAAAGTATATCATTGTATCCTGATGCATATTCTAACATTCTATGTCCTAATATAAAGATATCAAGAGATACAAACATAGAGATACTTTGTTATAACATAGACCTGGATGGCGACACTCAGATATCAAACATTCTCGTTTCGTTATTTTCTGCTAAAAGATCAAGAGATACAAAGTATATCATTGTATCCTTATACATATTATAATCCTAATATAAAGATATCAGATACACCAATACAGAGATTCTTTGTTATAACATGGATGGATTGTTTGACTTGAATGTTACAATTTTGCAAACATTTTATCATTCTCATTTGGTTCTTCCTAAAAGTTATCAAGAGATACAAAATATATCATCGTATCCTGATACATATTCTAATATTCTACATCCTCATATAAAGATATCAAGAGATACAAAGATACAGAGATACTTTGTTGTAACATAGACCTGGATAGTGATAGTCAGATATCAAACCTTCTCATTTCTTTATTTCCTCTGAAAAGATATCAAGAGATGCAAAGTATATCATTGTATCCTGATATATATTGTAATATTTTGTCCTAATAGAAAGATCTCATATATACAAATATATAGATACTTTGTTGTAACATAGATCTCGATGGTGATATTCAGATATCAAACATTCTCATTTGATTATTTCCTCCTAAAAGATATCAAGAGATACAAAACGTATCATTGTATCCCGATACATATTCGAATATTCATCCTAATATAAAGATATCAGATATACCAATTTAGAGATACTTTGTTATAATATAGATCTGGATGGTGACACTCAGATATCAAACGCTCTCATTTCTTTATTTCCTCCTAAAAGATATCAAGAGATACAAAGTATATCATTGTACCCTGATACATATTGTAACATTCTAGGTCCTAATATAAAGATATCAGATATACAAACATAGAGATACATTGTTATAACATAGATGTGGATGGTGACACTCAGATATCAAATATTCTTATATTAGGACATATCCTTTCTCTGAAAAGATATCAAGAGATACAAAGTATATCATTGTACCCTGATACATAGTCTAATATTCTACATCCTAATACAAAGACATCAGATTTACCAGTACAGAGATACTTTGTTATAACACGGATGGATTCTTTAATGTTACAATGTTGCAAAAATTTTCCTGCGCCGTGTCATTAAAGCGCTGCGCAATCTGTTGGCGCCATATAAATCCTGTATAGTAATAATTACAGGAGATGGCTGGGATATATTTATACAGACATCCCAGGGTGAAGCCCCCGTTCACACCTGAGCGTTTTGCCCCACGTTCCCTGTAAGGTGACAACGCTCAGCATGAAGGATTTCCTTTATTTCAGTGGTTGTCGTTCACACCTCAGCGTTGTGTTGCTCAAAAAAAGTACACAAACTGTTTTGGGCTGAATGGCCATTTTTGGCCCTATAGACTTCAATGGGTGCGCCCATTAGGAAGAGGCTCATGCTCAAGGGCG